GTTATCGGGGGGGAAGGTGCAAAAAGGGTGAGAGGCGTCACCGCGGGAATGGTGGAGGGGGAACGGTTCACAACTTAAACCGCAAGAGATATGGAAAACCTACTCCGCCCATTTGGCATGACAGCGCGTTCCATCAAAAGAGGGGCACTGGCGCATGCAGCCGCAGCGGTGATCCAACACGATCTCAACCCTCGACTGCGGGCTCAGTTGGGGAAACATGCAGACCCTCCAGAGCCACCGCGCAGCACAGCGCGGTACATTTTTTTTTTCTTCCTCGTGTCTTCACGACTCTCGTCGATGGCTCCGCTCCATCAGCCACCATCGTAGAGCACGTTCGTTATTGCTCAATTTCTATGTGGAAGGAGGTCCCTTTGTTTTGTTATGTATTTTGTTATTTTTGGTGTTTTTCTGTTTTTGTTCTGTTTTTGGTATTTTTGTTTTTGTGTTTTGTTGTTTTTGGTATTTTGATCTCTGTTTCGTTGTGCCGGTCCATTGAAAAACACGCGCTGGAGGATCGGTCGGCTCAGTGCTCTCAACTGGGCCGGGAAAGCCTACTTGCCCCATTGGTCTTAGCTCTCTCAGGAGCGCGGTGCATAGGGCCGTGGGTCGCTTTGGCCAACAAATCCGCACACCTGACGGCATATATGTAGACGAGGTCAGCAAATGAGCGATGTCTCCATGGGCCTATCCGGGCAGAGGGGAGGATAAGGGACAACTTTTTCAAGGGCATAGCATTTTGCGACGTACCCATCATACGCGGGTGGCCGATCAGAGCGGTGAACGCAGGTTGCCGTTACAAAAGGTAGATGCGGATACTCTCTCACTGCACTGGGCCCGGAGCCGGCTCAATTCTAAGGCTCTGGACAGGTTTAATACGGTGTGGGATTTGGTGCGACAGCCAGCTAATTTCCGGACAGGGGGACGAGAGCCCCTCTTGAGAATGACAAAAGGGGATGCCTGGGCGATGAAGAAGGCGGGCATTATTCAAACCGCACCAAAGCTACCCACTACCGGGCGGGTGGTGCCTTTTACGGTAGTGGAGGAAAAACCGTCAGGGCCCACGGCGGCGTTTCATCGCCTGGCCGCAAGCTAAAAATGAACAAGAGGACTACGAGGCCATGGTTCCTCTGGGGCAAATTTCCCGTTACCTGGGCGCGGTTTATGATGAAACAGCTGCCATTTTCGATTTAGAGGCATCCTTCTTCCAGGTAGGTTTACCAGCCGAAACGCGCGGTAATTTCCGTTGTCGCACGGAGAAGGGGGAGCTAGTCGACTTCACACGGCCCCAAATGGGGTATAAATGTAGTCCGGAAATCGTGCACACGATCTCAAGAGTTTTGGCGGGGGACCCCGAGGTGGCTAAACCGCGTTATGCGGCCCCGGCGGAGTTAACTCTACACGTGTGGATGGATAATATTCGTATCACAGGGCCACGCAAGAGCGTAGAGTCGTGGGGGAACATTATTATGACAAATATGCGGGAGTGCGGTGCGACGGTGGGAGGGCACGAGGCACCCACCGCGCGTTGCGAATCCATAGGGGTTTGTTTCAGCCACACTGCGAAGACGGTTCCCCTCAGTGAAAAGACGTTGCGGAAATTGAAGAGTGCCACGCCCCTCCATAAGATGTCGGTTGGGGAATTGGAAAGCTTCACTTCACGCGTGATGTGTGCAGCGGGGGTTCAGGGGGGTTCGCTTTTTCGGTATTATTTCTTTTTGAAAACGGTGCGCCGAAGACTTTCGCGCCTCAACAGGGGGCTTTTGGGGGCCCATGGCCCGGCCGCTCTGCCCCTTTTTGCCCTTAAGATCGGACAGGGGTGGCTTGACACTTTGTTGCAGAATAATCCCGTCAACCCCCCGAGGGCCAAACCGACTTCAGGGACTTTAGTGTCCGACGCCTCTTTATACGGATGGGGCGCGCTGTTGTTTAAGGGCAGCGGGGAAGTGTGGACCACAGGGGGGGGGCATGGGGGCACGCCCCCCGCATTATTTCACAGGCCGAAGCGAGGGCCGCAGGATTGGCCCTGCCCGCTTTCAGGGGCATTTTGCTGGTCATACTCAATGTATGTGCCGATGGCAAGGCAGTGGTGCATATTATGAAGAAAGGCAACGCACATTCCGATGCCCTGGTGGGAGAGGCGGGGCGCATCGACAGCGCTCTGCGGGACCAAGGCTTACACGCCACATGGGGCTATGTCGCGTCGGAAAAGAATCCTGCGGAGGGCACCTCGCGAGGAGCAAAGGTTTTACCGACGGACATCGCAAAGGGGTGGGGCTTGCGAAGGGGAGCGCGGGAGGCGGGTTAAGGGCGCTTTCAGCACCTCCTTTTCGTCAGTTTTAATACATGATTTTAAATCCCTTATATGGGTAATGCCTTGAGCTTACTGGAAGTCCCCCTTTCTATGTGTACCAGGGGCAAGGAGTTTCGAAATGGGATCTGGATAAAAGGCCTCGCTTACTCTCTCTCTCTCTCTTTTACTTAATAGGGGAAGGTAAGGAATAGACTATTTTTTTTTTATATTGCCTCCGTTTGGGGAAAGCGGGACTAAGACTATTCTCAAAAGAACCCCCACTTTTTAAAACGCAGCAGACAAGGTCACAAATATTCCAGCACCTCCCCACGAACCGGACGCTTCTGGCTTCAGAGGTGAACCACATAAAAAAAAGCATGTGGACACATTCAACGTGGAAGAAGCAAGTGTCAATAAGAAGATGCTAAAAATTTGTGGTAAGAAACAGTCTGAAAGTTCAATCCGGAAATGCCCCTATTAGCACCGTAAGTTCCCAACTGGTCAAGAGCAGTGTGGTGCAATATGCGGGACTTTCTCTAACCCAAACGGCTGTAACACGAACTCCTGCTCATATATTTTTTGGCACCTAACACCACGCGGCAGCGAATTGAACGAAACAAAAAGCTCGCCCCATGAGGTGATAGAAACGAAATCCCATCAGCCGTTTGGTGACCTTCGAAAAAGACCGCGTTGTCTTTCCACTGGCGTGGGAAGTGGCTGGAAAGTTGGGCCAAATGGCTCTACTCCAAACGAAATTTTTTTTTGCCACATCCGCAAAAACAAGGACGCTTTAATCATGGATTGCGAAGCGCTGCCAAAAAACTTTCAAAATAGACCCACACAGAGCAACGAGCTATGCAGCACATATGCGAAAAAAGCGCAAGCCATCATCAAGGGCATGATGCAGGTGGGAAGACTAACAAAATTAATAACAAGAGACATGGAATACATCCGCTAACCCTACGGAATGGCAGGGCACTCAATAAAAAGATAGTCACTGGCACATGCATCCATAGCGGCAGTGATCGAACACGATCTTGGCCCTTGACTGCGGACCCAGTTGGGAAACCACACCAGCCCTTTAGAATGTTCATACAGCACCGCACGCTGTCTTGGGCGTTGGGTCGCGCTTGTGCAGCAATCGCCTCAGTTGACGCTATACATCTGGATGGGATTCGAAAATAAGATTCGTTTATATGG